AACTTGTAAAAGTGATATTCCCCCTCTAGGGTAATTCCTACAGGCAAGGTTGTCACTGTGTGTTTATTTAATAAAAGCTAATCTATATACTGTTACTATCTCGAACTGTTTGCCTGCTGCTATGTAGTAAAGTGAACTACTACACCTCCATCCCATATATATTTGCAATAGTTAATCACTGTACCAGGTGACCTTGTTACTTGGTTGTATTGTACCGAGAAGGCTACAACCCTATAACAATATAATATCTGATATAAAACTTTAGAATAAACTATTTAAATAGGCAACTAATCAAATTATTAATAAATTATTATTATAAAATATAATCTTTAACAATTAAAAAAATTTTAAATAGAAGTATAATGACCTAGTAAAGTGAATAGGTTGTTAACTTCCAAGTAGCAAGTTTAGAGTTTAAATCTTAGTGATAGTGAAAATTTGCAATTCTTTTTGTATTATGGTTAACTGTCTTTTATAATTGGTTAAGATTAGATATTTATAATCTGTATCATATCAGCATAATTATAAGATTTAGGCACTTGTACAAAATTGTATGAAGGAATACAAACTGGTATCAGGTAGTGTTAATCTAAAATAAGTTCTTAGGCTGTATAAATCACAGAAACCAGGTAGAAGAACAGAAACCCACTTGGAAAACCTAAGTAGAGAGATAATTTGAACTTTTAATAATACTACTATAAAGACTAGACTTATAAAACAGAGCTAGAACTTGTGAAACTATGCAAATGTGCTAGTTTTTGAAGAAGGACCGAATGAACTAACCAAACCACTAGAATTCCAGATTTTATAAAAAAAGTATACATGCCAACAAACATATAAACCAAAGATGTATGGTTATGATCTATCTTTCTATATTATCTGGAATAGCAGCTTAGTAGAACTTAAATTAAATATCAAAGTAGTAAAGATATGTTGTAAAGTTAGTATTGGAATTGGAATAAACTTTACAAAGATATAGTAGTTTAATAATATGTTCTGACTATTAGTATTGGTCTTAGTCATAGCAATACTGAGTTAGCTGTAAGAATAGGATACATGAGATTCTAAAAGGTTTAGTACAAGGTTAAAGGTTTTAAAGAACTGCTTTAAAGACTTAGTGGTCATGACATATTTTTATTAACATTAGTTAGGGTTATTAATAGGCAGAGGTAAATAAATAAATACAGAAACTAGAATGATTAAATAGAGAACCTACAAGCAAGTTCTAGGTATAGCAGCTAATATAAAATCTTCAGACAGACTACTTAAATTAAACAATGACTAAAGTTGTATAAATGGCTAGTTGTATACTCTATTTATAGTTGTCTTTTGTAGTTGTAATACAACTATTAGCCAAATATATTATCAATAAAATCTTGGATCACAAGTACTCATCTTAATATTTAAAAAAAAAATTTAAATATATATTTTTTATTATTTTATAAGCTTTTATTAACAATCTTGTTTTTTAACTACTAATTATTTAAAAAAAATCTTTTACTAAAGTTGAAAAATTTTTTATATTCTTCTAAATTTGACTTATTTTAAACAATTATATAATTATTAAAATAGTTTTTTAAAAAATTTTATAAGAAGTATAATAACTTAATAAAATAGATAAGTTGTTAATTTTTCAAATAATAGATTAGATGTTCAAAACCTATTGATAGTAAAAATTTAAATAATTATTTATATAATACTTATATTATAATAACTGTTTCTAATTATTAAATTAAAAGATCTGTAATGATAATCATATTAGCATAACTGACAAGTTATAAAACATTTGTATAACTGATTATACAAAGAAATATAAACTAACATTAGACAATACAAACTCTAGATAAGTTCTTGTAATTATATAAGTTTGTTAAAATTAAAAAACAAGAAGTTTATTTAGAAAATTATAATTAAAAAAATAATATAAATATTTAATAATACTATTATAAAAGCTAGACTTATAAAATAAATATTAATATAAAGAAACTAAACAGACAAAAATTTTTAGATAAGAATATATTAATCAGACCATTAGAATAAACTAGAAAAAAAATATTAAACTAATATAATATACTAATGAACTAATTATAATTTTATTAAACTATCTAAATTGTAAATATAATAACAATACAGAGTATACTAAAATATTTTAAATATGTTTTAAAGTAATATTAAAGTTCAAATAAACTCTGTAAAGTTATAGCAGTTTAATAGTTAGCTCTGATAATAAGTATTAATTCTGTTATAATAATACTAGTTCAGTTGTAAAAATAAATATAGAAGACTTTAAAAAATTTAACTTAAAATAATTTTAAGATCAAAACAATGATTTGAGCATAATCTAATAATATTAATACAAGTTGTATGTTTAGAAAATTTAGAATATTAAATGTAAAGAATGTGGTAACCTAGTGAAGTAGTCAGGTTGTTAACCCTTCAAGTAGTAGGTTGGGTGTTCAAATCCTATTGATGGTAAAAATTTGGATAATCATTTATATAATATTTGTATTATGGCAACTGTTACTAATAATTGGATTAGGATACCTGTAATAGTGGTCATACCAGCATGACTAGCAGATCTGTATAAGTATGGCATTATACAAAGAAATGCAAATCGACAAATTGAAAGGTGCAAACACTAGATAAGTTCTTGTAGCTGTGTAAATTCATTGAAATTGGGTAACAAGAAGTCCATTTTGGAAGACTCAAGTAGAGAGATAGCTGAATCTTCAACAGCCCTACTGTAAAGGCTAGCCTGAAAAAACAGATATCAAAGTTGTAATACCCAGTCATAGTAGCCAGATGGGCAAGAACTTTCAGGTTGGAAAGTTTCAGAGGTACCACCAACCAGGCTGCTAGAATGAACTGGAGGAAAAGAATATTAGGCTGATCCGATATATCGATGGTCTGATTGTAGTCCTATACAGGCTATCTGGATTAAGAGTTTGGTAAAAAGGCAGATGAAAAGGCAGGGGTATACTAAAGTACTAGAGTTATGCTATGAAATAGATGCTAGAGTCTAAGTAAACTCTACAAAGGCATAGTGGTTTAATGGTCAGCCTTGACCACAAGTGTTGGTTCTGCCATAATGATATCTAGGTTAGCTATAAAAATGGATATAGAAGGCTCTGAGAGGTTTACTTCAAGAATAAATTAGTCCTAAGATTGAGATGATAATCTGAGTATCTAGATATATCCTAGTAAATTAATACAAGTTACAGATTTAGAGGGTTTAAAATAAAACATTCAAGCAGAAGTGTTAAATATGACAATTAGTAGAGAACCTTTGGATGGACTCCTTAAATAGGTAATATAAAAAAGTTATATGCATAGCCAATTGTACTCTCTTCTGTAGTAGTTCATTGAACCACAATACCAATAAGTGATTAATAAAAGTCAAAAGACCAAAGAGGTCACCTTAATATCAAAAAAAAAAAAATAGAATATTAAATATAATAATTGATAAAGAACATTTAGATAAACTTTTTAAATAAATAATATAAAAAAATTACATGTATAACTAATTATAAACTCTTTTTGTAATGATTCTATATAGAACTATATTATTATAAAAATATTAATAAAAGTCAAAAAATTAAAAAGATTATTTTAATATTAAAACAAAACTTTTATTAAACAAAAATCTCTTCTTTTTTTAAGTAAAATTGTAAAAAGAAAATATAGTAACTTAGTGAAGTAGACAAGTTGTCAACCTTCTAACTAATAGGTTAAATATTCAAATCTTATTGATAATAAAAATTTAGATAATCATCTATATAATACTCATATTATGACAACTGTTTCTAATAATTAGATTAAGATACCTATAAGGATGATCATACTAGTATGACTAGTAGATTATAAAACATCAATAAAAACATAATATTACATAAAGAAATACAAACTAATATTAAATAATACAAATACTAAATAAGTTCTTGTAACTATATAAATTTATTAAAATTATAAAATAAAAAGTCTATTTAAAAAAATCCAAATAAAAAAATAACACATTGATCTTTAATAATGTTACTGTAAAAACTAATTTTAAAAAACAAATACTAATATTAAAATATTTAAACAAATAAAAATCTTTGAATTAAAAATCTTAAAAATATTACCAACCAGGTTACCAAAACAGATTAGAAAAAAAAGATATCAAGTCAACCTAATATAACAATAAACTGATTATAATCCTATCTGATCATTTAAATTGAAAATTTAGAAAATAAATAAAAATATACTAAAGTAATTCAAATATATTTTGAAATAAATATTTGAATCTAAATAAATCAAATCAACTGTAAAAATAGATATAAAAGACTCTAAGAAATTTACTTTGAAGATAAAATAATCCTAAGGTTGAGACAATAACTTGAACATAATCCAGTAATGTTAACACAGATGCAGGTATGACAATTGGTAGGGAACCTTCAGACGGACTCCTTAAATAAGTAATATAGAAAAGTTACACGTATAACCAATTGTACACTTTTACTGTAGTGGTTTATAGAATCACATTACCAAAAAAGTTGTTAATAAAAGTCAAAGACCAAAGAGGTCACCTTAACATTAAAAAAAAAAAAAGATTGTTCTGGTTCTAATAATGGTTAGATCATCAAAATTGATTTGGTGGATCCCAAAATAACTTAGAGTTAAAGGAGCGAACAATAAAAAAAATGTTTTTAAAAAATAGTTTTTATCCAATTAGATCGAAAGATCAAGTGTAAATGAAATCTTAAGTCACGTTGGGAAAAATTTTTTGATTAATTTTTTGTGGGAAAGTTCCATCGCATCTAAATAATAAAAAATCTCAATTTAGAATTTCGGCATGTCAAAGTATAAAAGTCAAAATATTATAAAAAAATTCACGGTTAACAACTCTATAGAAGCGCCAGTTAAACACAAAAAACGTAAGCTACCAAAAGCGGATAAAGGGAATCCTAAGAATAAAAAACATAAAAAAGAGGACTTTATAGACGTAAATGACCTTGATTGGTCTGAGGTTTTATGTCCAGACTCTGTGTTTCTAGGTGGTGATGAAGATTTGGGTGGTTTTCTATGTTTGGAGGAAATCAATAATGTTGATGTTGAATATGAAAAAACCGCTACTAAAGGGTGCACGATTAAATTTACGGTTGGATATTATGAATGTTATCCTCTTGCTTGGAATACTGTTTTATCGTTCTAAGTAATACTCATAACATTATTTATAAAGAAAGTTGCATCTAATAAACCGATTACAAAGAAAAAAAATCCACCTGCAAGGCCTCACGAACCATTGCCTATAGAAGAATTATCAAAGTATCATGATTTGGATACATTTAATGAACAATCCTTTTTAAAGAGTCAACAATCACACCTTGACGTGGCACCTGTTTCTCATTCAGATGAAAATTTGGTTTCAGAGCAAGATGAGGAAGATGGTTCGAATATTCAACTCGGAAATGAAAGTAAACTATCTTTTTTTTTTTTTTGCCTCATGAATTTGTAATTTGTTTGACCATATGTTGCTATTATAGATATTGATGTCTCTGCCTGGGGAGTGTTTAACCTTTCTTCAACTATAACGGACGGATTAAAGGCTCTCAAGTTTGAAAAGCCAACACCAATTCAAGAAAAGACTCTTCATTCAAGCTTGAACGGACGAGATGTCATTGGCAAGGCAGAAACAGGATCGGGAAAAACACTTGCATTTGGAATTCCAATATTGGAGTATATAATCAAGCAAAAAAAAGAGAATTCTGAAAACCAATTGGTTGCTCTTATCCTGACACCAACAAGAGAATTGGCTATGCAAATTAAAAATCATCTTCAAAATGTTGGAAAATTCTCTACAAATAATGTAGGGCACTCCTCTGTGAGTTCTAACAAATTTATGCTATTAATTATATTATTTACCATTCTCATTGAATCACATGTTTAGATTATGACAATTGTTGGAGGTATGGCGATTCAAAAACAAAAGAGGTTACTTGAAAGGAATCCTAACATAATTGTTGGTACTCCGGGACGATTATGGGAACTTCTTTCCGAGGTAAAAAAAATGTAACTTTACAGGCGTTATCATATTCAAAATTTTCATGAAACGTCATGACAAATTACGACTCGAATAGAATGAGGAATTTATAAATACACTTCGCCATATCCGATTTTTGGTCCTTGATGAAGCAGATAGGATGTTAGAAGCTGGGCATTTTAAAGAACTGAATTATATACTTTCGATATTATCAAGGAGTAAACAGTAAGTCGATTTCTTTATGTTTCATAATTTTGTGTTTTTGTCTTATAAACACATTTATAATTAATAGAGAACGAAATGATGATAACAAAATAATGCTAGATGCTAAGAGAGGTGAATTAATTAGCCATTAGGTTTGTAAATAATTGTTATGTTCAATTTCACTAATGATCATTTGTAACTTAGATATTCCCGCAAGGCAAACATTTATATTCTCAGCTACTTTAGATAACAATTTTAAAAGCAATCCAAAACGAAAAAAACCACTTAATGGGATTTTGAATTCTCAAGGAACAATTGGTAATTAATTAATTTTTATCTTTTGTGTTACCACCATTTTCTAAAATCTTAACTTTTCTGCATTCTTACGTTACAAAACAGCTGAACTGATGAATAGGATAGAATTTAGAGATTCTAACCCATTATATGTTGATATTGCTCCAAAAGGTTCTGTCGTAGAAACTCTGCAAGAATCTAAAATTGATTGTTTAGCTAGAGAGAAGGTTATAATTCTTGAGTTCTTAGCAAGTCACCATAGACATCACAACTATACTAAATCACTTGTGATTATTTAGGATTTATACATGTATTATTTCATTACACGGTATCCCGGTAGAACTCTTGTGTTTGTGAATAGTATTGATGCGATTCGTAGATTGGTCCCGATAATGAGATTACTTAATATAGAAGTTTTCGCTCTTCATGCTCAGATGCAGCAAAGACAAAGGTTAAAAAATTTGGATCGGTAAGATAAATCTGTTTATAATTTGAATAATTCAAGTCACCATAAGATCTATTAAAATAATAATTACCAGGTTCAAGCAAAATTCGAACGCGATTATGGTCGCTAGTGACGTGGCGGCTCGAGGACTGGATATTCCACTCGTTGATCATGTGATACATTATCAGTTGCCACGTTCTGGAGATGTATGTATTCATATTGGTCTGTTCATATGATTCATTATGATTTATTATTTGTCTAACAGTTTTAATCCGCTTATTGTAGATATATATCCATCGAAGTGGCCGTACAGCACGTGCGCGTAATGAAGGTATCAGTTTGATGTTATGCAGTCCAGAAGAGTCAGTTTTGTACCGAAAAATTTGCCAAGAATTGAAGAAGGGTTAGTTGCATCTATATGATACATCATTTGCTTTATGTACTTGATTTCTTCCTCATTTTATTTTTAAAAGTCAATGGGATAGCCAATTTTCCAACCGATGGTGGAGTGATCAATTCCATGAAGCAGCGTATTGATTTAGCAAGACAAATAGATCAAGAAGAACACAAGTTGCAAAAGGTATGCATTCTTTTCTTTTTGATTAATATTCTGATTTTTCGATGCTTATATACATTTATTTCAGGGCAACCATGATGATGAATGGTTTAAGAAAGTTGCGGAAGATCTTGAGGTGGACTTGGACGATGATCTTCTTTTCAATAAAAAAGAGATTAATAAAGGGAGACAGAATAATGACCCTGTTAAACATAAAATTCAATCATTAAAACTTCAGCTGAAAAGGTTATTATCTCAACCATTAGTTCCACGTGGTGTATCTACTAAATATTTAACAAGTGGTATTGTACGTGATTTAGCTGATAGATTGTTAGATGGTTCATCGTGTAAGTAATGAAATAGTAATTTGTACTCATGCAAACAATTTTATTTATTTATTGGTTTTATTTTTCAATAGGTAATTCTAAAATTTTGGGGATACAAAAATCCAAGGCAACTGAAGATTTAAAGTCAAAAAAGAATTATAAAAAAACATCCTTGAAACAATAGTTTTTTTTTTTTAAAAAAAAAAGCGATTGTTCTATTTATTTTATTCTATTTAATAGTAGATTTGCAAATTTTATAAAAAGTAAAAATCTGGGTGAAAAACTTAATTCTTGAATAACATCCAGAGGGTATAGCTACATTAGTTTATTACTTTTTATATATCTTCCCCAAATATAGTATCCTGTACCCACGGGTACTATCCAATTTATAAATAAAGTTCTTGAATAAGACTTGAAAAAAGATTGTGATGAATAAAGCTCTCATTAAACTTGATCAGAATTATACTACATGGCCCACTTTAAGGGTTAAATTCGGCCAGTAAATGATATTGATAATCTAGAAAGATCCCTGACCGGCTAAATGCATTGTTATCATAAGTTCAAATGATCAAAAAAAAAAAATTATCGGGTAATTTTTTAAGACCTGTGTATACGTTCTTCGAACACGACACAATAAATTAAATTTGACATGAGGGAATTACCGTCGAAGGAATCCGCTCTTTTCAAACAAATTCTCGCAAGTATCTTTCACAAATGAGCTAAAATAAAGTGTAATTTCAAGCATTGAACTGAAATTTTCGTGTGACTAGAAATACTATGAATTCAAGCAATATAAGAAAGGATTTAAAGCCGCCGAACAAATACTGAAAAAGTATCCAGAGCATGGGGGTACATACTCTTACTTTTTATTGCTTCTTTGGATTATTCTTCTAGTTATCATTGTTTATATATTGGCTGGATAATTATTATAATTTCCGATGTCATGATTCTAAAGAAAAAAATACATTAAATTAACTTGCATTGTTTTAGAAACGTTAGCTATGAAAGGCTTATTTCTTAACCATATGGATAAGAAAGAAGATGCTCGAGAATTCGTACGAAAGGGCCTCCGATCTGATTTGAAAAGCCATATTTGTAATTATCTTTTTTTTTCATTGGGATCATTTATATAATTTATTGGCTCTTTATAAAAAAAATACAAATATAACGGTTTAATTAGGTTGGCATGTATATGGATTGCTACATCGATCCGATAAGAATTATGGCGAAGCGTTGAAATGTTATACCCAAGCTTTAAAAATCGATAAGGTATTATAAACGAATTTAAAATTCATTATATCAATCTAAACACCAAATTATGATTATTTGATAGGATAATATGCAAATCCTTCAAGATTATTCTCTGCTTCAAATCCAAATGCGAAATTATGAAGCTTTTAATGTGAGAAATAAGGAAAAATCAAACTAATAATTAATTATTATTATATAATTCTTGTAATAAATTTTTATAATCTTATGTTTCTAAATATCAAGGAATCACGCCATCACCTTCTACAGTTGAGGCCAAATAATCAAAGATATTGGTTAGGACTTGCAATATCTTATCATCTATTGGAAAATTACGAAACTGCTGAAAGAGTTTTGAAAATTTATGAAGGAACTCTTAAACCTGGTCAAACAAATTACGAGCATAGTGAAATGCTGCTATACCATAATCTTATTATAGATGAAAGTGGTAATACTGAAGCGGCTTTAGAACATTTAGAATCTATCAAAGACAACGTTTGTGATCGTCGGATTTGGAAAGAAAAAAGAGGTTTGCGCTATTGGCCAATACCAAAATAAATTAAGACTTTTTTCTTTAATTCTCGAGCTCATTAATAATATATCTTGATTTAAGCCCAGTTTTTATTGAAACTTAACAGACTTCAAGAAGCAGAGGCAGCCTACGAAGAATTAATTAATGATAATCCTGATTGTTACGGTTATTGTGAAGGATTACAAATAGCTAAAGGGATTAATACTAGTATGTGTGTAATTTGATTCATCCACAAAATAAGATGATCAATGCAAAAAAAAATAAATGAATAAAAAATAAAATAAAAAGAAATAATTATTTAAATGTTGAGGATAATTCTATAGACGACTTGACACCTGAGTGTGAAGAAAAAATCATCGATTTGTATAAAGATCTAGCCCAAAAATATCCAAAGTCGAACGCGATAAAACTATTTCCTCTATTATATACAACTGGTCAGTCTGTTAGTAATTTTTGCTTAATATTAATCCATTTACTTGTAATTTAATTCCAACATTATTTAATATTTTATCTAGGCGATAATTTTAAGATGTTTGTAGATGAATATACACAAGCTGCACTTCGTAAAGGAGTCCCGTCCTTATTTGTCAATCTCAAAAAGCTTTATGGCGATCCTCAAAAAGAAGCTATTATCGAGCAATTAGTTGAAGGATACCGCGAATGCCTGAAGAATAATAGTACCTTCACTCAACCTAAAAATGATGATTATGTGAAGGAACCACCTACTGCTTATCTATGGACCCTTTACTTGCTTTCCCAGCATTATGACAATAAACGTGACACAACGAAGGCCCTTATGTTGATTGACGAAGCAATCGAACACACTCCTACCTTGGTTGAATTATATATGACAAAGGGCCGTATTCTAAAGGTCCGAATTTTTGACAGCTATGTTAGGTACCATGTAAAAAAAAAAAAAAAAAAATGAAAAATGAAAACGAGTCTTACCAAACACTTAAATGTTGGATATGATAGCATGGTGGAAACCTTAACGAAGCCATGAAAGTGATGAATGAAGCCCGTGAATTAGACCTTCAGGACAGATTCATTAATTCGAAATGTTCAAAGTATATGCTCAGAAATGATCAAACTGAAGAAGCAGAACAAACAATCGGGTTATTTACTAGGGTTTGTATAGCTGGTGGTATTTAATATATGATGTTTCAATTCTAGAAAATTATCTTACGTACGCATTTTTAAAGGGTGATGCTCCCGATCCATTAACAGATCTTGCGGATATGCAATGTATGTGGTTTGTCCTTGAAGAAGGTGAAAGCTATATAAGGCAAAAAAAATGGGGAAAGGCTCTAAAACGGTTTCACCAAATCGAAAAGGTATGGTTCAATTTCTCGGTATTTAAGAAATCGCTTGTAATTCAACGTTATTCATTCTAAAATCTTAAAAATATAGCATTTTTCTGATATAACGGATGATCAATTCGATTTTCATACTTATTGCTTACGTAAAGTCACTATCCGGGCATACTTGAGGCATATATCAACAAATAAACAATCTGTCAATAAAGTTAAGCAAATATTTAATGATTTATGCTTTAAATTTTCACAATAGTATGCTACGGCTGGAAGATCAATTGCGTTCTCATCCATATTATTTTCGGGCAGCACAAAGTGCCATAAAGGTAATAGAATGACATTAATTATAATTAATATCATATTTTCTATTGACAATTACGTATAAAATGATTTAGATCTATATCGAATTATACGACAATCCAAATAAGGTCACTATTATTGAAGAAAATGAAGACTACGGTAAGTTCATCGTCTACAGCTATATAGATATGTATTACAGCCAGGCTCATTAACTATATTTGGTCATTAGCAAATATGACTGAGGGTGAGAAGAAGAAACTAAGAAGCAAGGCTAACAAAGCTGCTCATAAAAAGCAAAAGGAAGATGAAGAAAGAAAAGGTTTGCCAAAAAAAGTTTTATTGTATTGTTTGTACGCGGTAATTGATCACATTTTTTATTGGAAAAAGCAAAGGAAGATGTAAAAAAAAAAGTTGATAAACCTCAGGACGATGATCCGGATGGTGAAAAGCTTCTTAAGGTTTGTCATTATTCCAAAATTAATTAGTCATGTGTTAGGTCTTAATACAATTCGTTCTCGACGAAAGGAATTAGTTCAAAATTTTTTTCTTATATTCGTTATTAATACGCTTTGTAAAGTTAAATTGAAATTATATTTAAGATCAAACCTTCTCATATTAACGTTTTTTTTATATCAAGTGTGGCTTTTAAATATGCATATATTTATATTTTATTAATTAATAACGATAAATAAAATTTATTTATCTATAGACTGAAGATCCTTTGGGTGAAGCATTTAAATTCTTACTTCCATTGCAAGAACTGTCGCCAAAAAGGATAGAAACACATTTACTAGGATTCGAGATCTATCTACGAAAAAGTATTATTTTACAGTTGTGTTTTTGATTTTGTTCAATTAATGATATGTATCATAACTTGTTTGTATTTCATGTTTTGTCTAGAGAAGTATCTTCTTGCTCTTAGAGCTCTTTTACGCGCTTACAATATAGATAAAGAAAATGCTACATTGCATAATGATATAATACGATTCCATTTAGCGGGTAATAATCATCACTATTTGCAACTTTGAGTCTTTGATTTTTAAATTACTCTTTTTAATTAATAATTTCCATTAGTATCTGATGATAAAGAAATTAATCCAACAGTAAATCAAGTTATTACCTCAGAAAAAGTAACTTTAATACCAGAAAATATGCCTTTGGCCGAATTTAATGAAAGATTCTTAGAAAGAAATAAAAGCTTACCACAATAGAGTTAGAACCGGGTTATAGTAAACCGGGTCACCCATGTCAAAACGGTTCAACCGGGTCAAAAATTTACAACCCGGGTCTAAAAATATGTTACTATTACGCAGAACATAAAATTTAGCACATTATTATTGTATTGTGAAAATAAACAGATTTTTTTTCTTATTAATTTATCTAAATGTTTAATCCCGCTAATCTGGATTTACAAACTTTCGGGGGCTACCATACGACTATCTATTACGAAAATTTTTGCTAAAAATTTTCCTTTGTATAAGCCTTCATTATTATTTTCTTTGCTATGTTCGACACGTTCGATAGTACCCCGTAATTCGTAATGCCGGGGTTTGGGTTGCATGAATTGCGCGATCGATAGCATAAAATTAATTAAAAGTCTAATATATACGTACATTCGTGCGTATGTTGTTACGAAAAATGTAATACACTTTTCCTTTCGTAATACCCTCCATTAATATAGTAAATTATTAGTTATTTTATTACATATTTGGTACGTAGTTAAAAGTTTTGACTACATTTTGAGCCTAATAAAAAACTATATAAAGGGTCAATAAGGATAGAAACTTTTAGGAGTACCTTCGATAGTTTTCTTTTATACTCTTCGATAATTTCATTGTAAATAAAATCCAACGCTATTTTGGCACGTAGATTCTGTAAATTGAAATTTCATGTAATAGTAATTTTAATGACTATACTCCGATCAGGTGAATCAGCATGATTGGTCGATCGATATTGTTTATTGTAGTCAGTGTTGTCACATTTACTATGTTTACGAATTTTTTTGGCATGTCCATGTTTACGTTCACGGATGTCCATGATGTTTATGCTTAATATATATTATTAAAAGATAAAGCGAACTGGTTTTGCATTAAAAAAAAAATAAAGTTGTAAAGTTATAACGAAAGCCTGTCCAGGCAAACTAGTGTGCAACAATTTTAATTAGCCTGGTATGTTTGAGCAGTGGATGCAACATGACCGAAATAGTAAATTTGGATACTTGTTTTGATCGATCATGCATAGGAGCATTGATCAATCTGTTTCTTTTTTTGTACAAATGAAGTTCATTTAATTTCGAAGTTAATTTAATTTATCGTATGGACTAAAAAATCAATAGTGCGATCTAAGAAAAAGAAATTCAGATAATTCAGGGTCAATAGAGACAGGGCACAAAATTTCCGGATGCCGGAAGCTGCTTTTTCTCTGGCGGTGTTTATTTTAACCGGAACTTAGAAAACTCAACCGGATGTAGCAGTTTTTTAATAAAGATATTGTAATATTTATTGATATTTATATACATACGTATATATGATATCATATTCAGAAATTTTCCGGCTGTTGAAAAGTCGGGCCGGAAATTGTCACGTGTAAACAGAAATTTCCGAAATTTTACAATAGGATTTGTGTCCTGAATAGAGACGCGAACAAATTGAGAAAGTGAGTGCGACAGAAAATCATATTATATCATAACTTGTGTGTTTCTAAGACGAATATTTCAATGTTTATTTTGAAAATCAGAACCGATTTCGTCTTCGTTACCATACTTTTGCATGTCAGAAATCCTTACCAATACTTATCCTGGTATTCACAGTTAAAATCGTCTCATACATTCTTAAAGTCATTATTTTAATATTGACATTAATTTTTTTTTTGAAAGAAGGCCGATTCTAATTCCATCATCATCGTTCATCAATCATATCTGGATCATACTTCTGAACGCTGTAAATTCCATCAATATCTTATTTACTGTCATTATTCTGTAAGTTATTATATTATGTGTTCTTAAAATCGGTATTTCATATTTAGCTTTAGCCGATTCTGATTCCATTATCGTTGTTTCTCAAGCATTCTGTATTATACCTTTGGACACTGAAAATTTCATCAACATTTTATTTACTGCCATTATTCCATAAGTTGTTAAATGCCACACGTTCTTAAATGGATACTATATAATTTTGACTCTGCAAGTACTGGCATGTGTTTTGTTAAAACATAATGCCAGGCATGGGCATAAGCATCCTATTTTAATAGAGCACATTCCAACACTTGCAGAGTCACAACTAAATCTGTATCTTAAGATTCACTTTTTAACTTTTTTTTTTAGAATAAGTCCAATTACATTAACTATATCACTAGGAAATTGTATTTATTTAGAAATCATGATCATGTATTCTAATGCTACGGTTAGTGAGTTTTCTGTTAGTAGCACTTTGGTAAACACATGTGCAAATGTCGAAGAAAATGACAAAGAATTAACTAACATTGATAACACACCATTCGTTAGAAACATATTAGGTTCTGAGTTCAAGAACTATAGTGGTGACTTGCTTTTAATTACCTCTCCAATTGAGATTAAGGTAGGAACTCAATTTATCTCTATGCCGGTTGCAATTCATTATGTAGAATAATATGCTTTTCAGAATCATTTTGCTATTTATAAACACAAATGTGAGATATTTTCTGATGGAACTTGTAGAAAAAGAGTTTTAAAATGTAATAGGGGTGGAAGATATAATGAACAGCTCTTGAGGCCAACATTAGGCAAACAAAAAAACAAGGAGAGCAAAAAACAAGGATGTGTGTAGCAAATTAATATGACACGATCTTATAAATCACCAATTGTTACAGTGACATTGCTTAATACTGAACACAATCATCAAATTGATATTAAAACTATAAAGTTCACTACGGCTTACAAAAGTTTTTCTCAGGAAATTATGGAACAAATCAAATATTATGTTATACATGGTCGGTGTGATGCAACAATGATTAGGAATCTTTTTCAACCCAAGTATCTAGATTATATCTTTCTTACTCAAGATCTTAGGAATATCATTCAAAAGATAAAAAGAGAACATCGAATAAACTTAGGTGATATGGCATCTTTATTAACAAAACTGTTAGAGTTCCAAGCTAATGATTCACAGTGGTTTGTAAAGTCATTAATCGATGATACAAGTAGTCGGTTAATTGGTATTTTTTGAATATCACCAAAATAACATAAAAGATGGTTCAAGTTTTATGATATAATTATTTATGATAATACTGTGCAAACTAATAAGTATAATTATCCATTGAGTTTTTTTATTTTAATTGACAATTATAATAAGAGTAGATTAGTAGCATAGACACTTATACAGAATGAAAGACAGGAATCATATGAGTAGTTATTTCGGTGTTGTTTAGAAGCCTGTGAAATTCCTTCATTAACTTTCGTTACAGATGTAGATCCTGCCATAATTGCCACTATTTCTATTGTATTTCCTAAAACTCGCCATATGCAATGTTTATATCATCTTTATCAAAATCTTTCAAAAAATCTTCGATTATGCTTAGTCACACTTTATCAAGATTTTCTCAAAGATTTTAAAAACATTCAGCATTCTTATTGTGAAGATGTATTTGAGAAAAGAATTGAAAGGTTACTTGAAAAATATAGACCAAGAGAAAGATATATAACAATGTTGTTAGATTGGAAATATATATAGGTAAAATGTTTTACATCTCGATGTTTCACAGCAGAAACACAATCTACTCAACATGTAGAATCAGAAAATGCATTAATTCAAAAGGTTATACAATCAAATTATTCTCTCTTGGAAGTTCAGGAAGCTTTAGAAAATCGACTTGAATTTGAGTTGATTAATAATCATTACTCAATTTGGAAAACATCAACAATTCAATATATACAATCATTCGTTATACAAACATTTTTTACTGGTATCAATTATATAATTAAAAAATACCTAACTCAGTCAATTTGTGATGCACATTATAAACAAATATGTCAATCTGTATGTTATTATGCATATCAAGTACCAATGTTGAAAATTTTATTTTCAGATGATGATTCGTTTGAACCATTTTTTGAAAAAAAACAAATAATTTTGAAATTCTTTCTGAAGCAGATGAAGATCAGGAACTTAACCTACAATCTTTAATTTTAATGATTAATCATGATGAGATTTTAGAAATTTGGAAAGTTTTTTGATATAATTACCAAAAATGCTATCAACATATAATTTTACTTAATAATAGAGAACATTTATGTATATGCTTTATATTTATTACTCATAGGATTATATGTAGGCATTTTTTTAAAATCTTTATACTATCATCCAAGGCACGCTTTCATTTAATGTTGATTCCTAAACATTGGTATAAGGATGAATATCTTGATTCAGATAAAGACTATTCTCATAAAATAGTAGTAAATAGTTCTAATAATAATAATACACAAATCATTCCAGAATTTACCCAAAAATATACTATAACTGATCTTTCAGAAAAATGGTATAAAAAAATATTAAAAAATCAATTAAAATATGGTGCTTTAATGAGTGAAGCAAAAAAGACAATTTATTATGCATTACAGAATGAAGATAATGAATTAATGCAATTTATAAAAGAATTCAATAAACGAAAAGAAAATTAACATATTCAAGCTTGTATACACAACAATCTCTTTACTAGTATTTGCAATACAAATGGAGATTTAATTGATCCTGAACAGGTTTTAGATCTGCTAAAACATCAATCAAAAGGAAGACCATTATTGAAATGACTAAAATCATCTATTAAACAATCTAAAAATAAATCAAAATTAAAAGTATCAAATACTTTAAATAATAATAAGGGTCGTAAATGTGGATTATGTAGAAAAATTGAATATTACCGAAATACATGTTCTGTAATGTAGCAGTAATTTAATGTATATGGGTAGTTATATAAAGAATAGCCTATACTGTACAAAGTGGGAATCATTTATAGATAGATTAGCTTATGAACTATAAAAAATCATACAAAATAT